AAATGATACACATCAAAATATAAGTGATATGTGTATTTGGTGGAACTGGCATTGACTTTTATTTTCTTCCTTCTTAAATGACTCCATGAATATTGCTGTGATTTGGATGTCTTCCAAGGGCCTGTGTGTTAAAGGTAGGGTCTCCAGGAAACAGCACCATTGAGAAGTTATTGAATCTTCAAGAGATGAGGCCTAGTATGAGGCCTCAGGTCATTGCATCATACTTCAGAGACTACTAAGTAAAGTCCAGGCCCTCCCCATCACTCTTATCATCCTTACAGGGATGAGAGGGGCTTGCTCTGTTACTCACTGTCCGCAATGAGCTACTGCCACAGAAACACAGTAAGAAAGACTGATAAGGACTAACACTTCCAAAACTACCAACCAGAATAAGCCTTTTTCCTAGATTGGCAGATTTTTCTGGGGTGTTTTTTGTTGTTGTTGTTTGTTTGTTTGTTTGTTTTGGTAGTAGGGGGAAGCTGATTGACACAGACATGGACTTCTATAAGAGTAATTAGATGGTAATTCAAGATTAACTTCTTTAGGAAGATAATGGCCACTGATCCCATCAACAAATGTGAGGCATCACCACAGTAACCACGCCCTAATATTTTTATTCTCCCAGTTTTAGCAACAATTGAGTATTTTCTTTTTAAAGACAGGATCCCTCTATGTTAGCTAGACACACCTGCAACCTGAGGCTCTCTTGCCGCAGCTTGTCCAGAGGTGTGACTGTAAGTGGAAGCACCGTGGTAATGTCTGCTGACTTTATTGAGTGAATGTTGTTTTAATTTTGGAAGAGATGGTGAAGGTTATCTGGTCTGACCTCTCCACACCTCACCGATCCTGTCTCTGCTGCTCAACGCTCCTCTCAAACAGGTGTCTAAAATGTTTCCTTAATTTTAATTTATTTATTTTCACGTGTATGAACGTTTTGCCTGCATGTTCGTCTGTGAACCATGTGTGTGCCTGATGCTAATGACAGTCAGAAAGGGGCAATGGATCCACTGAGACTGGAGTCACTGACAGTAGTGGGCTGCCATGTGGGCACTGGGAATTGGATCTTGTCCTCTGCATTTAAGGTCTCCTGCTGAGCCATGTCTCCAGCCATAAAACATTTTTAATGAAAATTTATGTGCTTAGTGTTAAAACACGAATGTCTTACAGTTCACTGAAAAATTTTAAGCCTATTGTGGTTTTGTATCTGGAAATGTCATAAAATTCTACGATGTTATTGCAATGAGTATGTTAATTCTGTCTGGTCTCTGTCTTTTCTACAATATCTTCCATGTCTTACATTCATTTTCTTTCTAAATTATAGCAGTGGCAATGGGGATCTTTATTGTATGTTTGTTTGTGTGTAGGGGCGTGTGCTTGTTCCTGTGGTACATGTTTATATGCATGTGTGTAGAGGCCATTGATTGTTGTTGGTCTTCTCTCATTCTACACCTTAATTTTTGAGACAGGGTTTCTCACAGAACCTGAATCCCATTGATTAGTTTAAATTGCCTGGTTATTAAGTACCAGGGATCTTCCTGCCTTTGTCCTCCAGATGTGTCCAGATGTGTGCTGCATATCCAGATCTTATACAATTGCTAGGAATGCAAACTCAGGTCCATCTTGTGTGGTAAGCACTTTACACATTGGGTGATCTTCCTAACCTTCTTTCTTTTATTGTGTTTAATCTTACAGAAGAAACTATTGATGTGTTACAAGGTTTAAATTCTTCTATAGATTCTGGATATAATTTTATAAAGATTGGAAAATATGTTATTTTCCCCCAGATTTCAAATTGTAAGTAGGTTTTTACATAAATACTTCCCCTGACTTTAATAAGAAAATCCCATCCTCACATCCCAATTCAGATAGCACAAGTATATTTCACATTAATGAAAGATCCGGGTTGAATGAATGGAAGAAATAGCCAGTTCTTGCAACAAAGACCATTGTAAAGCACGGAGACTTTCCCTTGGATGAACAACCATGTAAGACTCATAAAAACCACTCAAAAATTGTGTATCATTTCACAAGCTCTTGGGCCCACTGGGAAATTATTGCTAGTCCACGACCCACGAAAGAATTTTTATTGAAGAGTATAGACATTATTATTTAAGCCTGCACACAATTCTCCTGGGGGTAAACTGCTTTTGGCAATAATGCTACTTTTAAGAGGGAATAATCTGACATCACTTTACTCTTCATTTGCCAATTAATGCATACTCATCGACAGTGGGAGAGATTCCATCCCCACCCTTGGGATCGAATCTTAGAGACCACCGGTAGAAGTTTTAATGAAGGGCTTACAAAAATAACTTAATTGAAATGTTTTAAAGTATTCAGGGACTATAATAGTAGGAAAAACTATCTACCTGTGGCTAAGTCAAAACCAAATGAGACACTTTTCTCAGAGGAAGATTCAGTGTGAGTGAAGTAAGTTCAATACAATCTCATGATTTTTGAACTAGTGTGTATACATACACCACACCCATGTACAACATAGGGAACTAGGGAGCTTACTTAGCTGTGAGGTGCTCATAGGACCTAGTTGCTATCATACTCATCTCCCATAGTGTCTCAGTGCTGGAGATATCAAGGAACAAGACATCAGTCACTGTAAGACACTGTTCCTTATTTAATCTGAACTAAACTTAGCCCTCAACTTACCTCTGAGACTATGGATGGAAGCAATGGATATATTCTCTATTGAATCTTAGAATCAGTAGACTTTCACTCCAAGAAGGAATACTAATATTCCAACCTAAGCCAGCGAGCACTTCATAAATTGCCTTTCTCTTGAGCAAAACACACATGTAGATGTTATCTAGTTAATTGAACAGGAGCCTTTTCAGATAGCGGAGTCACTATTTTGGCTAAAGAGCAACATCCAGCTTTAATTGTGTATCTCCAAGATTTATCAGACTGATATATCTTCTTCAGTGTTTACCACTCGGTGTGTGTACATCACAAATAAGAGACCAGTCACCTTTTAACAGATGGTGGGGAAGAGAAAAGATTGAGAGCTTTTATGAAAGTAACACAAGTAGCTTAAACAAAAAAAAAATCATTTTAGTTAGGTGTTCAAGCTATGAATGGGCTACCTAAATATTTTATGTGTGGGTGAAGTTGTTAAAAACATACCTTGCTAGCTTCTTAAACTGACAGACTCCTCCCTACCCAACATACACCTTGATTGCAGGAAATGCAGTAGAGAGGTCTAGAGACTAAAAAAAAAAAAAAAAAAAAAAAAAACCAACCAAACAAACAAACAAAAACAACAACAACAACAAACACATCCTTCAGTCCATGGCATGCATCCTTCTATTCTGAAAAATGTAATAAGCCATTCCAAGGAATTCTCTGCTTTTCAACTCAAGGAGTCCCTGCTACCTGACCTCTACATCAAGAAACCTAAGGATCATTTCTTCTTTCTCTCACCGCCTTATTCTTGATTTTATATTTAATCTAAATAAATCTCTATCTATATCAAGCTTCTCTTCTCAGCTGTAGATGTTAATTTTTCACATAGGCTATTTTAACTGTGTTCCAAGCTGGTCATCTGACCTCTGGCTTTGGAGAGGTCTCTCACAGAGGCAGCAGCTTAATGGCAATCTGAATTGCAAATCAACTCTAATTTATGCCAGTTGTGTTCCACATCTTAGCATACGTGAAAGGTTCTTCATGACTGTCTTCACCACCCTCGCCTGCTTTAGAGCTCTATTGACTACTGTTTCAAAGGTGAACTATGCTCTTTGTCAGAGCATACTGTTTAGTGACTGTCATTCCTTTGTTGTTGTAGAAGATGGCTACAGCATAGCTTCTATTCATCTTTCAAGGACAATCTCAGGTAGAATCTCTGGGAGAAGAGCTCCCCTGACTCCTCCAAGTGGGGCTCCTCCACGTGAGAGCTCCTAGGCTCCCATGGATTCCTGGGGCATGCCTCAGCTGGCTGTTTCTGAAGCTACATTGACAGGACACAAACACTACTCTCACCAATGGGGTGGTGATTGTGTCCAAGTCAGGGCTTTCCTGTCCTGCATCCCTAACATTGCACTGGGACCAGTTGTAGTGCATAGTTAGTAAATAAGACCAAGAACAAAATGCATGCTAAAGATGTTCAACAGAAGTAAATCAAAGGTACAACTTGGACATATGTGTGTATATATATATATATATACATATATATATATATATATATGAATCTTTTACAAATACAGATGTCACAATTCCCTCCAGCCCATCCAAGTCAACAGCCTAGGGAAGTGAGAGGTTGTGTGAGTGCTCAACTTCTGTATGTGGTATGTATAGCTGAGGCTAGGAACCAATGGCTTTGCCGGTATGTCAGACCGATAAAGCACTGATGCTAAAGTCACCTTTGTTCATGAATTTCAACATGATCACTGCTATTATGCTCATTTGTTTTCTCAAGCTACCCCTCCCCATTGTAAAGGTTCTCTAATTTTATTTGTGCATAGCTTTAATGTAGCAGCGCTAACCAAGCACATACTATGGAAGAAGCCTAGCAACTGGAGGGAGAGAAGGGTGTCAGGTATTCATGAACCTACGCTGCATCAGGAATGGAAGTCTTTTCTTCAAATGCTTCCTGATTCTCTTGAAATGTGACTTTTAATAGGCAAGCCATTCTTGTCTCTTTGGCTGCTAATCACAGCAATGAGCAGTGAGAATAAACAGTGTAGTGTGTATTTCAGATCCTGACATAATTCCATGTAAGTATTACACAGAATAGGAAAGGATGGTTTAGAACTATTATCAAAATTACTAGCATTTGTGGGAGGAATAAGCTACTGAATTTTTCCCCTTAAGAGTACTTTTTAAAACCTGGTACAGTCACTCATTCCTGTAAGCAGGAGAATCATACATTTCTACATGAGACTCTTTTCAAATGATGAAAGTTTTTTTTTAAAGCAGTAAAAAGGGGGGAGGGAGTCTTTGTAAATGATTGATCAAATATCAGGAGAAAACTGATAATCAAACTCAATGTGTTTTTTTAAAAAAATTTAATGAGCTATAAAATAAATAACACTTAAATATTAAATAAATTATTTACAACATGAAAAAATACTTTATCTCCACACATTTCTTTATGTACAGAAATAAGACTATCATGAAAAATGATGACTGAAAGTCTGAAGCCACCAGAAGGCTCCGCTTCCTTCACAGAAAGGAAGACCGATACGTCACTTCCGGTCAGACTTGGCAGTGACTCCGTGTTATCCTGTGAGGAGAGAAAAGTGTCAGAGGTTAGTTGCAGGCCAATGTGGTTTTGAGAAAATTTCTAAGAATCAGAATTTCTGTCATCTCTGTTTCTGGGATGACCTAGGAGATGTGCTAAATAGCCTTACAGAAAACCACCACTTTGGCTTGATTCCATCTTTCATTTCTTAAGTTATCTACGTGGGAAACTACAAATGCTCATGCCGTTTAAAACTCTGCTTAGTAAAAAAGGCAAATGTAGTGAAGAAAAATAGTTTTCCCAACCAAATATACACTGTTAGATAGACCTAATTAAAAACTAAGATTAAGTGTTGCAGTACTTATGATATACAGTTAATTTAGGATAATTAGTACCAGGGGTATAATAATGGTAGCTACCAGTTAGCAGGCAGCCACCACATGCCCACACAGCATATTAATATCCTATTCCATCCCTATGCTTGTACTGAGTCTTACCTTAAGATGACATATTTTTTAAAAGTGCAATGAATACTTCGTATAACATTGGTATGAACAGTTACCCATTTCATGAGTTATAACCATTTGGAATATTTACTAAAAATAAAACTTCCAATTTGGTAGACCTAGGGTATCTATAAGTATTTAACAATCATCTCACATAATTATGAACTGTAGTGAGTTAGGGACATGACATTATTGTTCTGAAATTTCTAAAGATACGATTGTTTTGACTGGACCAATTTTCACTGTGTCCATCTCCCTGCTCCCCTCTTTTCTAAGGTCTTCTTCACTAACTCTGTACTATGTACCTTTTGCCTACAAGTAGCTCTTCCTACTTAAAAATAAAACTATAGATTTATACCACACTACTCTCAAGTGTGTGCCCCTTCCTTTCTTTAAAGTAACATTCTTGTCACACTTCCTCTTTTTTCACATGATAAGCTGACCTTGGCCCTCCATCCTGTGAACCCACCCTGTCATTACTGCCTTTGTCTAACCAACAGTCACTGGAACCAGGCCATATCTGTTTGTAAAATGACCTGTTCACCTCTCAGTATTGCCAATCTTTCCTCATAATTGCTCTGCTGACTTTTAAGGTCTTCCCAAGCTCACAAAGGCCATCTTAGGTATATGACCTTTCCCAGCTCCTAGGTTCACTCCACTGGTTTCTCCCATTTTTGGAATGTTTTCCCTCCCACTCCATCAGTTTCTTTCTTATTACACATATTTTACTTTCCTCATTACTTTGATTCCTTATAGTTTCCCTCCATCTACTAAGCATTATGTTTTCCGAGAACAAGACTGGAGTTGCCCACATCTACCTTTCTTTTACAAAACTAAAGTCAAGCTTACTCAAAAAATAACATTTCCCTAAAACAGCTGTTCACGCTCATACATAAACAAGACTAGATTTCCTGTTTTGCCTTGAGGTAAATGCTTTTGTTTTTCAAAATTATAGTATCTAACTGGAGGGCTGAACTTTTTAAGGCCAAACCTGTACTGTCTTCAGCTAGGCTATAGCGTGCACATTCCCAGTTTCTTGCCGAAGCCTCCTTCTTTCTTCCGCTTCTCCTTCATATTCCCTGAAGTGTCGTTTTCGAACCCTTTGGAGAACACAGAATTCCACTGTTAGCAAATCCTACCCACCTGTGCAGTGGGGATTTTTATGAAAATGGGGACTTTCTCCCTGTGACCTCTTACAGATAAGCACCATATGCTGCTTTGTTGCACCAAACCAAAACCTAAACCCAACTGCAAAATCTTGCCAATATTCTTCTTCAGAGGACATTGATCCTGCCACGATAGAAACACATTTCTAGAACATTGAAATGTAAAGGTATATTCAGCATGAAAACTTTCACACAGGACTAGAATGTCTTATGTGTTGGAGGTAATGATGGACTCCACACATATAATTGAATCTATTTGAACGAATGTAAATTTCTACCAAGTGAATTTAAATTATTAGAATTTATACACCGTTTACAAAACAACTTCGTTTTATTTTCAAATATGTTTACTCCTGATTCTATTTATTGTTGCAGTCGATTTTCAAAACCCCATAGTTTAAATTTTAAGGGTTGTTGTCTGTTACTTTCAGTGATTCCTGAGTTATTCTACCATACATTACTGTTAAACCCCAAAGAATACCGTCATGTTTAAAGAAGAATATTCACTTCAATTATCAAAAAAAAAAAAAAACAAACAAACAAAAAACAAAACACTCAGTAATTGTGGCTTAAGACTAGTGTTGACATTGCTTCAAATATAATAAGAATTTAGAGAACACAGGAGGAGAAATCAGTTCTTAAAAGTGACACAGGTCTATAATCCCAGCTATTCAAAAGGCCAAGACAGATCAAAATTCAAGGAGAGCTTGGGAAACTTGGATCCTGTCTCAGAAAGTAGAAACAGCTAGAGAGGTAGCTCAGCCTCTGAGTACTTGGCTACCATGTATGAGGTTCTGAGTTCAATCCTCAGCACTGCCACAAAGAAAACTGAGTGCCAACATGAAACAATAGTCATTCCACATTCTTCCAGAAGATTAGAGCATTGAAAGCTGAATAGCTACAAGTTCATTTCCTGTGAAATGCCTTCAGCTCACATTTTTTTTCCTATTCTTTCTGTGTCATTTTCCTAAATGCATTTGCATACCTGGCTTGAGGCACTAGAAGAAATTCCAGGTGTGCAAAACAAATTCAAACTGCACATCAAACTTCATGTGCATAATAAAACAGCTTTTATGTGTCATTTTATCACTATCTGATTTGAATTTAAGATTACAATAAACAATGCCAGGAGATAACTTCGGTATCCTGAAGAACAGCAATGATGGATCACGTACAGCATCCAGTTGTTAAGAGTAATTTACCAAGACCTAAAATTAGAATAATGAATCCACTGCTTTTCCCAAGCCCTAGTAACAGTGAGTCATCCGAGAGCCACGCGGGCCCTCCTCCAGCTTCCCCTATCCAGTGGCTTTTGACTGACAGACAATACCATCCTCATGTACCCATCAGTGCCTATGCCCTAGGACACTGTAGTGTGGGCATTCTCTGGTGCTGAAGCGAGGCGTATGATCTGCTGTTGCCCGGGAAAGATGGTGTGGGAGGACCACAGTGACAAAGTTTGTCCTCACTGCCTACACCATGCCATCGGGAGGAAGTGTTTCGCCTTGTTTCTCAATACATTCCCACACTGTTATACCCGAGAAGGACAAAAATAGGTCTAAACTGTAAACCAACTAGCACCGTGCCGTGAAATTACAAGTGCAGAACTTTGCATTGTACTGTGAGAAGAGACATATTTTTCCTTGGCTGCTGATTTGAGCCCTGGTAGATCATGTGGGGGTGGGGGGAGGTTGTTCTTGTTTTTGTTTTTAATGCCAAAGAAGTATGTTTGGTGCCATGAGCTTAATATGACCCCAACTAGTTTCTAAGAAGCTTAATGCTTAAGTTTAAAAACATTCACAGACGATACTAACACTTTCTGAGTTTCAGAAATAACATAAATAATATGTAATTAAATATCAGTTTTTAAGCTAATAAACGTTCTAATTCTGGAAGACAGCTTTGTATGTCATTTCAGTGGTAGTCAAAGTGATGCAATTTTTGATTCCGTTCTGTTCATGGGTCACACGCCACAAAAATAAGTCATGTAAAATATGACAGTAGAGCCTAATGGAAATACTGACAAGAGTTAAATTCTGAAGTTGTGTTGTACTTACTGGACTGTGATAAAAATGACAATCGCTGTGAGGCTTATGACAGAGATGAAGACAGTTATCGCTGCTAACGCAATCTTGGATAGGTCACTCTCATCCCCACTTTGAGTCTTCATGGATTTTTCTCCACACCGTACACCAAAGTAATCATGATGACAGCTGTAACATCACATTTCACAAAGACAATTGTTGAAGAGGTTCTCTACGACTCGAGTTAACTACTTAATGAAAAGATCACTTAATTTCACTTAGAAAAGCCACACCATTGTCTGTACTGCAAAGCCATGAGACATGGATCTAGCTAAAGATCTTTAAGAACAAGGACCCTTCATGGAGATAAACTGGAAGCCCTGCTCAGTCAGATGTAGCTCATGGCAGTTCAGTCTCCAAGTGGGTACCCTAGTAAGGGGAACAGGGACTGTCTCTGACATGAACTCAGTGGCTGGCTCTTTGATTACCTCCCCCTGAGGGGAGAGCAGCCTTGCCAGGCCACCAAGGAAGACAATGCAGCTAGTCCTGATGAAACCTTATAGGCTAGGGTCAGATGGAAGGGGAGGAGGACCTCCCCTATCAGTGGACTTAGAGAGGGGCATAGGAGGAGATGAGGGAGGGAGGGTAAGATTGGGAGGGAATGAGGGAAGGGGCCAAAGCTTGGATACAAAGTGAATAAACTGTAATTAATATAGAAAGTAAAAATTTGAGAAAAAGAAAATTTGTGATTAGTTTGGGTGTGAGGGTGATATTCCAAAAAGGCATGGTGAGTTATTCGGTGTGTTCCTTTAGGACCAATTGATGATTTCAATGCCTCATTTCATAGTTATTACACTCCACTATCATATAGCTTAATGTTAGGTTGGGAGGGTTTGGGAACATTAGAACATCATGAATGGTTATGTGATCAATACTTTAAGATTCTTTTTCTTTAAGGCTTAACATAAATGGACAGGCATATGTATGCACATGTGTATATGTATATTATATAATAAAATGATGCCTTACTCCAGTAGTCAAAAAAGTACAGCCTGTCTGCACTACTTTTTACAGCCTTCGAGCTAAGAACTTCTGTCTAGTTTTATGTGCTTACATTATAATTGGGTGTGCAGACAGAATGTTTGTTCATGAAGCCTAATATTTCTAGTCATTGATCTACACACTGGAAAAGTCAGCAGTAGGTGGGGGTTTCAGACATGGTGTAGGAACTGAAGAATTTTATGTGGTTCTAAACCTACTTGCATGAGACCTCCTCCATGTTCTCGATGTATTTGCATTCACCGTGAATGCAGTAATTCTGAAACTCGGCAGCACATGGATTCTTCCTCTTCTTCTTTTTATTTCTTCTACCTTTTCCACTTTTGCCTCCCTTTTTCTTTCTTTTGGGTTTTTCTGAAGTCTTTTCAGCTTCTGTCTTGCTTTTCTTGGGCTTAACCACCTGTTCAACTGGAGAAAAAAAAAAGAAGTTTGACATGTTGAGGTCAGATTTACTGTCAACATTCTCTTTTCATCTTCAAAATTATCTGGAGTATGTGAGACTGTGACAGTACTGAGAACTATTTTTGCCTCAATATTTAACACAATACACATGATAAACCTGCAAATATGTGTGTCAGACGGTACTTACTAATCTCTGTCGCAAGCCACTTTAGCCATTTTACCTACGCATGCACAGAGTTAGAGGCACTGTAGCTCACATGATACAGAGGAAAAGAAATAGCTCAGTGAAGACAAGAAGCTTGGCCTAGGAGAAGCAACTGGAAAACACCATGCTGACAGGTTCAAGCCTGTTTTGTTTGTTTGTTTTTCGATCAGAGCATTGTCTCTTGAGTAAGGACAATACCATTGATTAAGATGTGGTATGAGATAGAGCTGCTGATTTTACTTCCCCACATGAGTCTCAGGCTCATGCTCTTAAGTTGGAAGTTAGTGAGCACTGCATGAGGGTGGAGATAACTGGAAAACACTTATTATAGAAAATAAGAACAACAGATACCTTTGGGGGGGGTGTCATTGTTGTGTACAATATGTTTAAAACAGCACTGAAATATCTGTCCCTGATGCCTCAGACTGTCCCCTCAACTGAACAGATCTGGAGTCTTAGGACTATGAAAGGCATAGTTAATTACATGCTAAAGACAGAAAGGGGAAGGGTTGAGTTGTTTAACATTGTGCATTTTGTTGTGCTCATCCTCAAATAAGTGTGCATGACAAAGAATTTAGCAGAGACCAGCGAGAAGAAAAAACACCACTAGTCCCAAAGGCTCTGCAAGCACCCATCACACAGAACACAACAAAAATGTTAACAGAAGGCTAACAGGGGTGACAGAGACATGGTCTCTATCTTAAGAAAAATGATAAATAGTAGGAAAGTTTTTGCAGGTTACTTTGATTGCATTAACAAAAGCTAAATTAGAAGCAATGTTAAATAGGTGCCCATGCAGTGTTTATACAGAAACTTTCTTCTGGTTATTCTAAAGTGCAAGTTAGAATAAGCCCTCTAGGAGAACTGTTTTAAATGCATATCACTATACTTTATTAGGTAGAGAAGTCCAAGCCCAGTAATAGTCACTGTGCTGAAGTGTTGCAATAGACAGGACACCGCTGGTAGCTAACCAAACAGCCTTCCAGATGAGTTCGGCCAACAATCTCAGCTTTATACACCGAACTGCAATTCTAGGCACTAGCCGCTTGCTCCACTAACAGTTTGTCTGGCCTCCAGAACTGTTAACAACTTAACAGGTCTTTAAGAGGCCGCATGCTGTGCACCTTGGTGGTCCAATCTAATCCCCTTTTCACTACATCTATTAAAAACAACAACAACAACAACAAAGGAATGAGAATCAAGGCAGTGAAGTAGAATGCCCACTGAGGTTCATCCCTCCTGTTATCGACTCCAGTCTCTGTACCTGTCCCTCACCCATTCTTGCTCAGCTCCATGAGACTCCAAAGGAGGAGGAGTCAGGGAAGCTGCTGGGAAAATCTTAGGAGACCTTGAAGAATTCTTAAATCCCTTCGCCCTGCCTCCAAGGGAGATGCTCCCAGATCTGACTTATCAATGGCTTCTTCTTCCCTCAAAATACAAAGCAGAATGAGGGTAGTAAGCTTTTATCTGTCTCTCCCCTTCTCTCTCTGCCTCTCTCTCTCTCATTTAAAAGAAAAGGTGTTTTTAAAGATATGTTTGATTAGAGCAAAAGGAAAAAAAAAGGGTCACTATTTGGATAAAAATAAAATCTACACATACTTCTTTAACATTTCTAAAGGTCAGTCATTATTTCAAATTTTCCCTTGTTTGTGTTAAAGTGCAGTTATTTGAAGACAGGTAGTGTGGGGAGGGGACACAAATGCTGTGCTACAAGGCCCGCAGGAATGGTTAAGGACTGCCGGTGCTCCCAGAATCGAGGTCAGGTTGTGTGGCACGTTGGGAAAGAACACAGACCCTGGGATCAAGCATATTGAAGTTCTAAGTCTGACTCAGGTGCTTGCTCCTACGACCACATAACCTTTCTGAGCTTCAGTTTTTGTGTAAAATGAACACGATTTCTACACATAACACTTTAGTTAACACCTTGGACCTATAGGTTGCAACCTACACACAGCTCTTGGTAGGATACGAAATAACCACGCCACTTTGCTAAGGGGGAAACCACAGCTCACAGACGTTTTCTCTGTCTCCTGCACACTCACCTCTGACTGAATCGTCTATAACATAGCCGGATATTTGTGGCTCATTATCGTACTCTTCTGAGTAGTCATAGTCCCCTGTGGAGAGTTCACTGCCTGAAGGCATTTCACTTGTGGTAGAGACCTCACTTCCCGCAGAAACCGCAAGTCCACCAGCACTGTGGTCCCCAGAAAACAGTCCTCCTCTCCCGGAGGAGGTGGTGTCATTGAGCTCCAACCCAGCTGCATAAGTGCCTGCAGGAGAATCAGAGATGAGTCTGGGTGCTTTCGGCTCACAGTGAACCGAGCAGACTTGAGTTCCTCCTCCTGTCAAAGTACGTGTGCTTTTTTTTCTCCCTCTCTCTCCTTTGACTGAGTCATTCATAAAAGCAACTTCACAGCTTGCCGAGAAGCAAACTCAGCTGCTCCAATTAGAGTTTCTTGTTATCTGGGTTTTCTTTTCCACAGATAGCCTGCATCAGTCTCCACCATTTAAAAAGTCCTGCCTAGTCAAGGCAGTAGGATCACGGAACAGGCAATGTCGTAAGTAGCCTCTCTCTTCAGGTCTCATTTGCATGTTTGCTCAGATGCTCTCACCTGCCTCCTTTTAACCGGTGCTCATACATTTTAACACTTGTTTGCGACTGTTGTAGCTGTACACACAATGTAAAAAGTAGTGCCAAAGGTGGCCAAGAGCAACGACTTTCACTGTCTTTATCCATTATTATTCCCACACAGAGAAAAAGTTGAGCACCAGGTAACCTTTGGAGAGCCCTGAGTTCCAGACCCTGATTTCCTCTTTGATTTTTTAAAAATCTCAAAACAGCACTGGCAGCAGCAATGCTTTCAAAGTCCCCCCCCCCGGGGGGGGCGCTTTAAGTCTGCTTTAGAAAGGTAAAAATAAAATCAGTAGACAGAAGAATAGAGACAGAAGGCAAAGAACCGTCCTCAAACTCTCCTGGAAGGAGGAAATTTTTTGTGGAAATCATTTCACCCGTCTTGACCTCGGTTTCTTTAGATGTCAAGGGAAAGGCCTCTTAGGTCGCCATCAGCTGATTTTAGTGTAGGTATTCCCTGGCAGCCTGGTCCTTGGGTCATGCTAGAGACTCTCCCCTTCCCCTCCCCCCCCCCAATTGCTTCTCTCACCCTCTTAGCATGAGCAACTTTAGGGGAGAGAGCTAAGGGGGATCTAGTCCCAGGTTCAACAAATTTCAGGGGGTCAAAAGGCGACAGCATTCAAGGGGCTGGAGCCCTGGGCGGCGGCTGCTCACCTGAACCTAACAGGATCAGCAGCAACAGCACCGGGAGGGCCCGCGGGAGCAGCGGAGTTCTCATTGGTCCCGCGGGGCGGCGGCGTCTAGGTCTCTGCGGCAACGGGACGGCGGCGGCTCGGGGCAGCGGCAGCGGCAGCAGCCGGACCGTGGAGCAGCGGGCGAGCGCCGGCGCGGGGAAGCCCAGCCCGCCGGGCTCCGCGCTGCGGGAGCGGCCAGCGCCTCGGGCTCGGCTGGTGATGTCGGGGCGGCGGCCTCGGGTCAGGAGGGGAGCGGAGCGAGCAGGGCGCAGGGCGCGGCGAGCACCTGCCGCTTTATAGGCCCGAGGGAGGGAGCCACCGCCCGTGACGTCACGGCCCGCCGTGGGTGGAGGCCGCGGGAGGTTACTACCCCCAAACCCGGCAGATCGCAGCCCGGGAGGAAGTGGAATTGGAGCCCTGTCACGGGGAGTTGGGGGGAGGGACGGAATGGGGAGGGAAAGAAACTTTCCCACGCGTGTTCTAAGCTGGAGTAGCGTTGCTGCGACGCTGACCGCCAAAGCCCCAGGATCACAGGTTCTGAAGAGACACTGCATCTATGTGGATGCGGGCAGGACAGCAAGCATGTTCCGTGTTAGGATGCAGGGCTTTAAAGAGCGACCACGGCTTGGCGCTGCTAGCCTGGAGACTTCAAGCCAGACGGAGGAAGCTGGTTAACTGAGAAGACACCCAAGAGAGGCTGCCTGGAGTGTGATGGATTGACTGGGGCAGCCTAGCGCCCTTTCCCACTTGGGCTCTGAAAGACTGCAAATGATGGGGCATGTCAATTAAACACCCTCTCCGGGGCCTAGGGCCTTTTTTCCCACTTGGACTCTAAAAGTCTAATGACTCAGTTACCAATCAGACACCCTCCACTCGCTGGCCTTTTTAGCAGTGTCAAATTAATTAAACATTTAAGATTTTAGCTGGATATGGCCAGGTACTGGCCTGAAACCTGAGCAATACGATGAGACCAAAAACCAAGCGAAACTCCTCACCTCCACTGCCTCACTAATACCTTGCTGGGGTCAGTACGCTCCCCGTTTTACAGGCGAATAAGAGGCCCACGGGGTGGGGTGGGGGGACGGACCCAGCATTCTCTTAAAATTCTGCGCAGAATTAACACAGCCAGCAAAGGCGCCTGCCGCATAGATTTGGTTCACACTAGTTTGCCTCTGAAATCTGCCCCTCGCCACTCTAATAATGAGATTCAGAGCTAAACTGACTTGGAGTTAGGGTTGCTGAGCAGAAGAAAGTTTCACAGAAGGAAAAAGAGGGCCAGGCCAGGTGATTTAGTTGGGCGGGGCCTCTGTTGTTCAAATTTAAAGAATCCACTTCCAGCTCAAGAAGGTAGCCCAAATGACGTCACATTTGTGACTCCAGCACCCCGGCTAGAGGATCTTCACTTCCAGGCCCACCTAGGCTATAGAGCAAAGTTTGAGGCCGCACATGGAATAGCAGAAAGACTGACTCAAAAAAGCATGAAGAGGAAAACCCCGAAGGAGGGGCAGGAGGGTTTTTAACTAGGATGAGAAGGGAGAGGCGGTTGCTTCCTTTGATTAGCTTTGATGTTCCAGCAACTCAGAAATGGATTTTTAGTGATTCAATGAAAACAAGACATGCTTTCTCCAAACTGTTACCCTGACCCTGGAGATCCGCGTTTCTCCCTGATTGTGCCCCTAAAAAGCCCTTTCCGGAATGCCTGCTACCATGTGTTTTTCCTAACTCTGAGAAACGTTTCAAACTCTTAAAACGCAAGCTAACCAAAAAAAAAAAAAAAAAAAAAAAAACAAGCCCAGCACTGTCACAGGGAGTGGGTTAAATGCTAACAGAGGATTTACGGGACCAAATACATAAAAGTCTGAACTGCACTTCAGTGTCTGCTCAGCGTGTGTTGGAGTTGTAGTTTGGGGAAGCCACATTGTTTAGCTTCCGCGGGGGATCATGGAGAGGGAGATTTGGTGAGCAGCTCCTTGTTTGTTAGGAGCCCGGTGGTGTGGGCCACAGATGATTAAGTAATTCTTCTAAATCAGATAAGAGGGATTGATTCATAGTGCCCCAAAGGAGGCCTGCAGGGACCATAACAGCCCTGGGGAGTGGGGGAAAGGGAGGGCCCTGGGAGGACTTCTGAGCAGGAAGTTTGGATGGAAAGGAGATGTGATTTAGGGTGGCCAGGGAAGGAGGGTGAGGGCGGCGAAGGCGCTCCCACCCATTCCCGGGTGAAACGGAGCTTGTTCTTTCGTCTTTGTTTGTTTGTTTGCCTTTTGTTTTGTTTTGTTTTGTTTTGTTTTTGTTTTTGTTTTTGGAGGTTTTTGGTGGATGAGGTGCTTGTGATTGAGAAGGCTGTAGTCCTGCCCGCAGAGCTCAGGCAGTCTGCTTACAGGGCTACAGAAGTTCCTAGACTCAAAGGCTTCATTTTTGTTGTTGTTTTGGCTCTGTTTCATTCTACTGTTTTCTTAAATTTCTTTTAATTTTCAATTAGCCAGTAAATATTGCTTTAGTATTTCTTTTTCTTAAATTTATTACTTTACACGAATGGGCGTTTTGTCTGCATGTATATCTCTGTGACTTGTGCTTGGTGTCTGGTGCCTACAGAGACCAAAAGATGGCACTGAATTCCCTGAACTGGGGATATAGACGGTTGGCAGCTGCCCTGTGGGTACTGGGAATTGAAGAGCAAGAGCAGCCAGGGTGTTAATCACTATTGCTCCAGCCACTTAATTATTCTTCAGATTTAGACAAGTTTTGGATATCTGTCATCAGAACAAATTTACTTTCTGTTTAAAGTAAAATTTGTCTGTTTCCATGAGAATTCCTTGGTCATTTTCTGGTTTGAAATCCTGGAAGGGATCATTTACATTTCTGCCCATAACCTAGTCATGGGACAGAACAGTTTAGTCCTTGGACCAAATCTAAGTTTTCATACATAAATTCTACTACATGCAAAGTTGGATAGTATTTGAAGACCCAAATTTGTCCTCTGAAAATAGGGATAAAACACCTAGTTTTTGTTAAATAGATATATGGCATAAGATCATGAGTGAGTGGCAGAAAGCATGGCGTACTGCGAGCCCTTAGCAGAGGTTACCCTTCCTGTCATGATGGTTTCCTCCAAAGCACACCGAAGACCACAGCTTACCACAGGGCATGCAAAACAACCACCCTCGGAATTTTCAGTCGGTGAACTTTGCACTATTTCCCCAGGAGACATTCGGGGCAGATTATGAGTGCCCTGTGGTGTCATGCCAGCATCATAGAGCAGCACCCATGATGTGTCATACACTCTGGAAAGGTGTGCATGAGTGGGAAACCAAGCCCGTGGAGACGTAGGATTCTACATTCTGCAAGGCAGGCTGAGGACATTAGGCTGCAGTCAACCAGTCCGAGCAAGCTAGCGCTCCACTGTGCCTGAAGCTTCCCTTAAGGTAAGAGAGGTTTAAGGACAGTCCTGGGGGCAGCTGCTCCTACCCAACCACGCCTGTTAGTGTCTACTCTCTGAATCCTGTTGTAGACGGATAGAAAACCATTCGCTTTGGTTCTGCTGAAAAACACCCTGGAAAATCAAAAGTATCATGTGCTTGTCCATGATGCTAATGCTTTAGTTTGTACAGATAGGGCTGAGTGTTATTCTTATGAGTCAACATAGGACTCAGCCACAATTCTCCAATATAAACAACGTTTCATACATTATTACCAAAAAAAAAAGTCATTCTCCTTATGACTGGCAGAAAGGACAAATGGCTATCTAGGGTGGCTATTAGCATATCACAGAGCATGCTGACCTCTGGGCTCCCTCAGAATCACAAGTACCTGTTGTACTTTGCAAAGTCCATGGCTGGCATCATGGCTCCTCTCAGTTCTTCTCAGCCCACCCCTTCCCTTAAGCCTCTCCCCTCAGAAGCTTCTCTCCCCGCTACCCCTCTTATACTACTTACAATCCTGCTATTTCAGCTATTCTCCCCCTCTCTGTATCTCTCTATCTCTCTCTCCCTCTCTTAGTCCTCTCTCTTGCCCTCTCTTGATCTCCTCTGCCTCCACCTCTGTTTTCATGACCCAGTTCAGTCTCCTGTGTTCGGTCTACTACTTTGTCTCTCTGCTCTGCACTCTTCCTGCTGCCTCTGGCTGTACTCTCCCTTCATGGCTACAAGAAAAACCTTCCCCTCAACCATACATTGGAGAGGTCACGTTTTCAATTTATACCATACCCACCTTTCCATAAAGGGTTTTATATACTGTTCATTTACTCAAATATATTTTGAGAATGGAGCAGTATTCTGGGCATAGAGGCTAGTGTCCTTTCATTTAAGGACATATTTCTCCCCCCAGGAGAAATAGTTCAGCCATAGATAAACAGTACGTAAAAGTAAATTTAGGTAATGAAAATTCTCTATGAGATACAGAAGTCTTAGAATAGGGGATGAAGGGAAATACAAATCAAAATGACCCTGAGATTTCACCTTACATCCATCAGAATGGCCAAGATTAAAAACTCAAGTGACAACACATGCTGGAGAGGTTGTGGAGAAAGGAGAACCCTCCTCCATTGCTGGTGGAAATGTAAACTTGTACAACCACTTTAGAAATCAATCTGGTGCTTTCTCAGACAATTAGGAATAGCGCTTCCTTAAGATCTAGCTGTAGCACTCCTAGGCATATATCCAAAAGATGCTCAAGTATACAAGGATATTTTCTCAATCATGTTTGTAGCAGCTTTATTTGTAGTAGCTAGAAGCTGAAAACAACCCAGATGTCCCTCAGCTGAGGAATGAATACAGAAATTGTGGTACATTTACACAATGGAATACTACTCAGCAATTAAAAACAAAGAAATCATGAACTTTGCAGGCAACTGTTGGGAACTGGAAAAGATCGTCCTGAGTGAGGTATCCCAGAAGCAGTAAGACACACATGATATATATTCACTTATAAGTGGATACTAGACATACAATACAGGATAATCATCTGAAAATCGGTACACCTAAGGAAGCTAAACAAGAAGGAGGACCCTAGGTAAGATGTTCAATCTTCATTCAGAAAGGGAAATGAGACTGACATTGGAAGGGGGAGAAAATGGAACAGGACAGGAGCCTATCATAGACTGCCTCTGAAAGACTTCACTCGGTACGGTATCAAAACATATGCTGAGATGCATAGTCAAACTTTGGGCAGAGTGCAGGGAATATTATGAAAGACAGGGAAGAGAGGACGACATGGAGGGAACAGGAGCTCCACAAAGGGAGCAACAGAACCAAAAAATCTGGGCACAGGGGTCTTTTCTGA